ATGGAGCTCAGTATAAAAGGAACAAATATTGATGTTCATGGGGAGTGGGTGTTATTGATTCCCTTTTGTTTGCAATGTTTGCACCTGGAGCTGGACTGCGGTACATCTGTATTGTAGCTAATTGTCAGTGAACTGCGAGTGATGAACGTCAATCGTCTCATTAGTAAGTGAGAATGTTTATATCTCACCAGAAGGTAAACTAGTCAATGAAAGACAGCAAAGCAATGTGCCAGGATAGAAATACCAAGGTCACAGATATTCTATAGGGGAGATTTGGTTCACTACCAAAGGGAAGATGCTGGTTCTGCAGTAGACAGGAGACTTACTATCCCAATAACCTCCTGGAGAACAAAGCCAAGTGACTGGGTATATCAGGCACAGTTAGAAAGTCCAATGTGTCAGGTGAACATGAAATAGTTCTGCAATGGCCGTCTCAAGAATGAATCTGAACCCAAGTAATTGCCCCTTATTTCCACATGGCAGAGTTGAGGTATTTTTTTTGCTGCCTAGGATCCTCAAAAGCAAGCCTCACTGGATATGAAACCATCCATCTGAAATATCATCTAAACAGGTGCCGCAAAACCAAAAAATATTGTTTAATAGCTTACCTACTCCTTCTAAAAAGGAGAAATCTACAGGGGATAATAATAATAATCCTTGCATTTGATATAACGCTTTTTACATCTTCTAAACATCTCAAAGGGCTTCACAGAATAGACTGTAAAGTGAATTGACAGTATATTTGTTGGTGGAGTCCTGTAGCTCAGTGGTTAGAGCACTCGCTTTGCAAGCAAGAGACCTGAGTTCAATTCCAGGCAGGGCGAAACCTTGGGCAAGTTTCCTTACTCCACACAGAGCATAATAATAATCCCTCCAAAACCAAAAACAATAATAAATTGGTCATTTTCAATCTTCGACCGGTTGTGGAACATTGCTGTGCGCAATTGGCTGCCGCGTTCGCCCACAAATATACAGTCAATTCACTTTACAGTGTGTTCTGTGAAGCGCTTTGGGATGTCCTCCCGACGTGAAAAACGCTATTTCAAATGCAAGGATTATTATTATAAATGCGGCAACCAATTGCGCACAGCAGTGTCCCACAAACAATCGTGGATTGAAATGACCAATTTATTATTGTTTTTTTTTGAGGGATTATCATCAGGTATGTGGAGTAAGGGAACTTACCCAAGGTTTCACCCTGCCGGGAATCGAACCCAGGTCTCTCGCTTGCAAAGTGATGAGGAAAAAGCAGATGAAAAGGACTGAAAAGATTGCTCTCTAAAAGGACCAGCAAAGACATGATGGGCCAAATGGCATTCTTTTGTCCTGCAAATTACTATTGTCTCCCCACGCACCCCCCTTAATATGAATGCAGATGCAATATTCCCAGAGTTAAGTTGACTTTCATCAATAAAATATCTATTAGGTTTTCAGGGGATTCCATTGTAGACCTGAGGCAAATATGAAAGCAAATCACTTTAGATTAAATATTCCTATAGGTTTCACTCCCAACTTCAGAGACACATGAACTTTAATGCTTTAGCTCAGCTGAGACATTGCATCAGTAAGAATTATGTATGTTCCATCAAGCAGCATTTACCATGCAATAGCCTCTCAAGCTTTCTTGTTTGGCCGTGAAAAATAGACCCCTCAGAGATATATATTGATTCTGTGTGTTCTCTGTTTCCACAGGCTCATCTTGAACTGTTTGGAGAATCTACAATAGCTTGGGCTATAGAGTAGCAAGACGCAGTCACGTACTTCTGCACCTTTTGAAAGCATGCTAGGTTGCTGGTCCCTCATCAATTTCTAAGGTTGTCAATCAAATCACATCGAAAACTTCAGTCATTGTTTCATAATTTATAGCAGTCTGCATTGTAGCTCTAAAGAAGACTAACGTAGGTGTCAGCTTGTGTCAGCCTAGCTGACAAGGTGGCACTCTGGCCTCTGGATTGGACTACTGAGACCACCACAGAGGGTGGCCTCGATTCCTACATTCCATTGTCAAACATGTCATCTTGGAGTCAGTTTGGCTTCAGGGAGTGCCCGCTTACCTCCCCCACAAAGGAGGATAGTCAGGAGTTGGTCATTTGACATCCGACACGTGCGGGTTTGAGCCCTCACAAGGTGGTTGGTAGGTACCCTGCAACACGGCTGAGCATGGAATGCATGACAGCATTACCATCATCTTCCTGTCCACATCCCTTCCCATTGAACGATGGTTCCACCAGTTGGGAGTTGCAGAGCTTGAGCAGCAGCTACTTACTTCTCTGCAAGCGAATCAAGATGGATTTGAGGCACTGGCGCTGGATGGTGTGTTCACGAACTTGGACTCCAGGTAACAATTTCCAGCAGCTAATTTCACAAATTCAAACTCCATTGTTAACAACAGACTTCATCCTTAGCATTGTCGACACTTGGTAAAAACACAGCCATGGATCTCAACTTTCACTAGTGTCTGACACTAATGCATTATTGCTGTTGTATTATCCTGAGGGTACAGTCCTGCATAAATCTTCCAAGATTTATCATACATTTGTCACCACTATTTTAATGTTGACCTGCCAAAAAGAGTAATAACCCACATAGTTCATGTTAAAAATAGTCTTCAATATGTTTGCAGGGAAACTGTACAACAAACAGGAGGGAAATACAAACAATGATGCCTAAGTATTAAATTTGGCTTCCTGCGCAATAAAATTATTTATTTTTTAAAAATGTTTGCTGCGAAACAAATTTCACTGCAAAGAGAGATTGCTGTTTTACTGAGCTTCCTGCCAGAGGTCAGTGTGACTTTTGTTTGTCCTACTGGAGTTTCCGTCTGCCTAAATGTTGCTGTTGCTGTAATGGCTCCAAGCATTATGCAGGCCACAGCTGGAGTAAAAAGCGTTGCTGATGTTTCCGCAACCAGTGGCTCATAATTAAAAGCTCTTTCTTCACTGACTGCACGGATGTTGTGGAAGACTTTGCCTCGTCTTGTGCCAGATGTGGGAGGATCTCTGGTCCTGATGCCATCGCTTCAGCTAGAGCTCCCGACAGAACAGTAAATTTGTTTTGCATCTGAATTTACTGATCAGTGATCAGTATTTCTCACCGATCGGTAAATTTGTATGTAGAACAACTGGAATCGTCCGATGTAGGCAGTGAGGGGGATCTTCAGATAAAGGAACAGCTTAACAGGCCATAGAGTTTGATATCAAGAGTGAAGCACCCCCTTAGCAAGATGACACCAGAATCTCTGAACCCTTATCTTATTGCTGGGCAGGAAATAAAAATACTATACGGACATTGGCAGGGCTCCTGACTAGTGGTAGTGTAAAAAAAATGCTCTTTGTTTCCTCGTATCTGAACCGTGATTTTTCAATCTGCCCAAGGAATTTCAACTTAAATGAGCCAAAGTAGATATTACTATTGCAGTTTGCTTAAACTGGATAGGAAAACAAAATGACCTAGTTTAGATGTTAGACTCTTGACACAAAGTTTCTGACCACAGAGTTAATTCTGAACAGTCCTTGTGGTTTGAAGAAAGCTTTCGTAAAGCACGCACCAATGCATTGTGGTAAACATCTGTGTAGCATCACGTGAGAAAATATAAAAGGAAATTTTAAGTTTGCAGAAATTATCTGGCAGCATCGCAGGTCATTTAAGAGCTGCGCAGTGTTTCCGATTTGTGGCTGTCAATGTAAAGGTAGAGAATCAGACACAGAACTCATGGGAACCTCATCACTGAGACTAGTTTCATGTCTGTCCACCTGGATGGCAGCCAAGGATGCACCACAATTCCAACAACAAATGTCATTCTATAAATACTGTAGACACCATTGTAAATACCAAACTCACACCAAGAAAGACAAGTCTGTCTCAGGCCAGGAGCCTAATTTGTCTTCTCTTCCTCTGCTTTAGGCCTCCCTTGGTGGTATGCGTACTACATTTGAAAGAGTGGCTGTCTAGTGAGCTGCACCCTTGTCTCTACCAACACCACTGATTTACTGCCCACCTGAAACTCTGGGATAGCAGCCTGATGGTCTCCAACTCCTCCTCCTTATGGGGAAGTGAGTGTTTCCTGAAGAATCGGGAGTTCATTCTGTATGTGAGTTTGTCCATCTGCCTGAGTGAGTGAGTGAGTGAGTGAGTGTGACACACAGTAGTGTGTGAAATATGTGTGTTTGTGTACGTGGGTGAGCGAGAGACAGAGTTGAGGAAGCCCTTAACCTCAGCTCGTCATCTCTCCAAAGGCACAACTTAGGTCGAAAAAGTGCTGGTGCAATATACCTCCACTTCCTTCAGTTTGTGGCACAATGTACTGACAATCCTACATCTGATTTTTAAAAATTGAGTTGGGTTTAATCCTATCAAGTTTTCTTAACTCAAAACCCAAGTCTCTCTCCCTTAAACTGGAATGGTTTTATTCCTCAAGTTGGGTTACAATATTGAACTGGTAAACTGAGACACAATTTCTGATACCATGAATCAAACCTGCCAATGGAGATTAGACAGTAAAAGGTTCATAACAATATTGAAGGTTCCAAGCTTTTGAATTCACAAACTGAACAAGGAACCTGTTGCTGGTTAGTCTGCACAACCAACTTTATATAACACAAAATTTTGTTTCAGCTTTACTTACCTGTTTGAACAGTCAGAGTTAAGTTTTATTGAAGTCACAGTTATATAATTACACGAGAGGCAACCCACACGTTTAATATTGCTGAAGGCTTTCGTTGGCGATTTGAAAATTGTAATTTTTTTCAAATGAAGGGATCAACAGAATTTGATACTTCTTCCCTAACAATATTTTCAGAACAAATGTAAGAATTACAGCCTATCTATATATAGATGTTGTACATTAAAACAGGTTATCAAATGCTCATACAAATCCAAACCCAATTTGAGCACTTAGGTTTGCAGAATTACAGCATCTTCAGTGGTAGATCATGCCTCTTTTTTACACAGCGATCTGATGACCTAAATATTCACAATTCAAAAGGGATAGAGTGAGTTACCTTCTACTGCTCTTTTGAAGAAAACTTTACAGCTGCCACAGGTAAGGACCCCATAGTGACATCCAGAGGCTTCGTCACTACAGACCAGGCAAACCTTTGAAGGACCTGAGGTCACCGATGAAGAGATGATAGAGGAGCTGAAAAATAAGAAATAACACTTCAGAACGACATAAAACTCAATTATGTGGACTCTCTCGAAAAATCATAACAAATAATGGGCAGAAATATTAGTGCCCAGATACACAAACCAGGAGGCATAGTTAATATAATAACATTTTAAATAATCAGAGTAAGGAATTCAAATTCACTAAAAACAAGGAGACTAACTGATAAACTAGTGAGAACCTCCCACAAACTTCAGCCTCATGTTTTTAATTCATGATCATGAATGTTGGAGGTTGGTAATACTGAATAACGCAATACTATCTTTCATTACTGTGAAGAACTGATGTCTCTGTTATCTGCCACGGCATCTCAGTCCTGCTGAGAAGAAAGGAAACTTCACCGCACAGAGGCGGGTATATTCTTGACATTTTTCTGATGTGAATGCCAAGAAAAAAACTGCAAAAGTTTGCTTTGTTGAGGTTTCCAACATGAGGATTGAAATTAAGGTATACGAGCGTTGAAAGAGTTCAACAAGTTCAGCAAGCTGCAGCTCCTCAGTTCAGCAAGCTCCAGCTCATCCAAAACGGCTGGCCAATCTTTACCCATACAAAACTCACCATGTTGGGCCCTTCTTCAGCATGCTGTAGCGTGTTTTGGGCCAACACTTGACAGCCATAAATCAGTGGTGATACACCCGCAATGCAAAATTTGGAACTTACAGAGTAAACTAACACTGGTCACCCATCAATAAAGGCCAATTGAGGTTTTCACGGTGAAATTTTCAATGCCGAACAAAAAGGCCTATGGAAATTGGCTAGGTTCCAGGGTGTTATTTTACTCTCCAAACTTGGTCATTAACTCTACGAATGTTTAATGGAATTAAACATGGAATTAATAGAATTTTTCCTCTCTGGTGGTTAGTACAAAAACTTGTTTCTCAGCAGATTCTACAGCAGCCAAGAGGATCCAATGTGCACTGCTCTTTGCCAAGTGCAGGATATGTGTATGTGCAATGGGAAATCACTAATCATTCGTACACTTAGTGAAGAGCACATAATAATTAAACCATTTAAAAACCTGTGCCCCCCCCACCCCCACATATTGTTACACAGACTGTTTATTTTACCCAACACATCTCAGAATGTGGATGTGTCACATTGATCATTAGGTCAATACCTGATGTGTAAATACAGAATAGTGGTGAATGAGTGTGTGCTTCAGTGCCTCACAGAACAATGACCAAGTTAATCACACTTTCCAAGTCTAATGCCACACGTTAAGACATGATAGATTTCCTTCTATAACCAATTTTATCCATCATAGTGCTATGTAGATGAAGAATTAAGATGAATAAATAACCAATCAAATTAAAGTCAGAATACACATTTCTTCATTCAAAGAAATCTAAATATATCTAAAACGTTCATTATTTTCAATATCAGATGTCCTCAATTTTGTCACCAGATTGTCAATGAAAAGAGCCTCATTTGGTTAAAGATTGGACTTTGCTGTCTTAATGGGCATCAATTGGTGTCATCCAACAATGGCATTGAAGATCCTGTTTAATGTACTGCACATACCCTCATTTACCATCATATAATCCTGGCTTGAATGGTTTCTAAATAGGTTTTTCTACCAAATGTTCCAGGATTCATTATAGAAACAATGAAAGTGGTGGACCTCAGCTAAACTCACGGATTTTGCAAAATACTTCCAATTGTTTGCCTGATACTTGAGGCAACCAAACTGTTACAATTATCATTTTACGTTTTCAACACTGTGTGGGGTCGGCCTCCCAATTGGAATCATTATTTGGCATGGTATCGGCTGCTTCTAGACATGCTGAGTCGCTGTGGAATTACAACTCAGGTAAGGCAGCATGATTCCCCTCACCCAAACAATACAGCTTTACACAGTGACTAAGGTGCCACATGATATTTCTTTATGGGTTACTGCTAGGTCATTTCCTTGTCTGGTATTACTTCCAAGCATAATCTGTCCATTGATAACGCACGAGGGAGAGATTAAACTGCACTAAACGGAAATGCAAATGTATGGGGAGAAATTCCATCTAGGTTTAGATTTACTGTCTGCCAATTTAGCACATCCAGAATTTGGCAAATTCTTCAATGCAGCCTTAATTTTGATGTCATTTTTTCTCTAGGTTTCTTTTAAGAATTATAGAAAAACATCTTCAAAGTTAAGGCTCAATTCAACAATGTACCAAATTCTGGATTCTCCAAAATTGGAGAGCAAGTCTAGACCCAGGTAGAAATTCTCCCCAGTTATATGTTGGTGACATTGGCACAGGTATAATAGCCACTTTGGTAGCCGAGGGAAAAGTAATCACAGATAAACACGTTTTGCAAAAAGGTTCCCAAAATGTCAGGTCTGCTGATCTCTAAATCTGGAGCTCAAAGTGAGATTGAAAGGACTAAGTACATGTAGGAATGGAGGCAACATCAGTGCCAATTACTTCCATTAAAAAAAACACACTCTGGAAATATTAATCATATCATAAATTTATTTTGGATAACTTCATTCAGCCAAACCACAAAGTGTTCCAATCTCACTAAAGAATATTTTCCACTTAAAAAGTGTCTCCCGCCAGATTAGAACTTTATGGTTATTTCGTTCCGAAACGTAACTTTATATTTCATTGATGAAGCAAAGCAAAACACACAGCAAAAGTAACCTTCCAGTACTCCAGCATTTGTCACTCGGTGTTACAAGTTACTGCATTTTGGCAGAATGTAGGATCTCTTAATAGTCCTGGAAGAAACAATCAACCACGGATTTCTCTAGAGGTGCGAATAAATTCCTCAACAAACACACAACAGCATAGGTATGTAGAATGTTCAATCCAACTGAGGAAATGCTCTCACTGTTTACAGTATCAGATGAGTACAATGGCTTGGTCTTACTACACGTAAAGAATAGGAATGTCAACAACAACAACAATGTGCATCTATATTGCGTCCTTCACGTATGGTACTGCCTTGGAACATACTTCAATAACGTCAATCCAAACTATCTCTTATAAGCCCAGAGATTTTCAAGAACCTTTTAATATCTAACATTAAACATTATGTGTTTTTCTCACTTAGTCAGTAAATGTACCAAGCTTGCAGTTATTATTAGTGTTACATGACCCAAGGCTGCCAAATTTACTGAACCCATTGATCTTTTGAATCTTGAAAACATGTGCCTCCCTTAAGATTATGTACATGAGTTGGATGTACTAATGAGTTTACCATATTGCTACCTTTCGTCTCTTATTAACGGGCTCCATGAGAGGTGAAAGGCAGCAAATAAAATTTTGCTAGGGTTCACATGATTTGGGTTGATTTGAAGCTTAGCATGAACGGAGCACAAATTTATCTTAGTACAAGCTTACCTCAGCATATCCTAGCAACATGTGAACCATTCCCATTCAGTTGTTATATGAATCCTCCTCGATAGTGTCATGTAAGCCTCTCTCACAAGCCCATTACTCCACAAGCACAGGCCACAGTGATTATTTTAGCCAGTTATAATTCAACTCGCGTAACAAGCAATTTTTTAAAAAAGCATGAAGAGTGATAATTGCTGTATTTGCAGGCATTTACTAACACTATGTGTCACACACAAATGCTACTATGCCACATTAACAGGTTTTTCAGGCTCGGCTTCTAGGACAAGTCATTCCTGATTTGCACTAATTTTTTTTTGCATAACTTGCACCACAATTCGTTAATATACAGAGGAGACAGAGGATTACTGCCATTGAGAGATATGAAGAAACACAGAGCATTTCTTCACTGAAAGCAATGAGAAATGAATAGATGTCAGCACCTGATGGATGAGTTTTCACATAGGTCATTTTATGGAACTGTTGTCCCTAAAGTCTTACAGTAATGCTCGTTTTGTTAGTGGTGAGAAACATCTCTGCTCTGGCAGATGCTGTAACTGCTGCAGCATGTCTTAATGCTTTATCTCAGATTATATATCTGCAACCAAATCAGCGACAGATACATAAGTGCAGTATCATGGTATTAGTAGCATCCTGCTTATAATGCACTACACTGAAAGTGCAGGATTCTTCTAGCTTCCGAGGCTGACGAGCCAGCTTCTTCTAATTTACTGTCAATTCACTTCAATATACAGTATGTTCCGTAAAGCGCTTTGAGACGTCTAGAAGACGTGCAAAGCGCTATATCAAATGCAAGGACTATTATTATAATAATCCTGACGTTGAGGGCTGGGAGGGTGGGTAGGAGGGTGGCTGAAGGCCCGGTCGAAGAGGAGGTCTTGAGACGTGATTTGAAGGAGGCAAGGGAGGGAGCAAGGCGAAGTGACTGTGGGATGAAGTTGCGAGGGGTGGTGGCAGAGAGGCTGAAGGTCCGACCACCAATGGTGGGGGACATGGAGCAGCCTGCTGAGCAGAGGGAGCGGACAGGTTGATATGGGGTTGGCATGTCACAGAGATAGGAAGGAGCAAGACTGTGGAGGGCTTTGAAGGTGAGGTCTGACTAGAGCTAGCAAGATGTTACACTAAAAGCCCCATTTCTTCCTGAATCTAACTTCTGTGCCATCAATGCACGTTTCATCCTGAATGTCATCTCTGTGCTCATCAACACACCTTCCTTCCAGAGTAAGAAGCTATTACAACAAAGTAAATACTAAATACAAATATTCCTTCGGAATAGGATTGACAGGAAACATCCAATGAGTGTCTATGGAACTCTGAAACAGACTCAATAAAAATACTGGAAGCTCGCATAAATAAACAAGCTCTGGCATGCAAAAATTTGCTTTAGAATTTTTAGAGTCCTGTAGCTCAGTGGTTAGAGCACTCGCCTCGCAAGCAGGAGACCTGGGTTCTATTCCAAGCAGGGCGAAATGTTGGGCAAGCTTCCTTACTCCACGCGCCTGTTTACTTAGTAGGAAGTAGGAACCTGGTTGTTAGTCGATTGACGGATCGCTTTTCCGGGGATAATAATTCCTCTAAATACATAAATAAATAATTGGTCATTCAATCCACGTCTGTTTG